GATTGTCTCTTCCCATCAATGGTATGCCATTTTGGCGACAAAAATCAGCCCGTTTTAGCTGATCATGAATTGGCGGCGATATCACCAGAATTCGGTCCTTTGAGATACCGATGGCCTCCAAGTGGTGAACAATTGCGGCCAAATTGTCGGCGAACTCATCGATGGGAACGTGTAGTCCAAACGGAGAGTCCTTATCGTGTGAATCGTTTGTACCCAACAAAAGTGTTACACACGAGACCTCTCGGGCGTCGGTTGTGTCGCCAAAAATGTTTAGACAAATCGCTCGCAGATATCGGCTGTTATAACCATCAAATCCGCGGACAATCACATCACTCACTCTACTCAGTGGTGTATTTTATTGAAAAATAAATGCATTTATATTGTAAATATGTTTAATGGTATATGAATTGATGGCCAAACCTTTGTAATCTGTTGGCCAATAGTGATCCCCAGCAACCGGACGGCTCCAATGCTCTCTACATTTATATAGCATGTAATCAATTATTAATTAAATGTTTAACTAATACAATTAAATATAACAAAACACATATTAATTACACCCAAAATACTGGACCTGAGTTAAGGAATCGCCAAAAAGTATCACTTTATTCCACTTCTTAGCCGCCATTCTCTACAATTAGATTCACGTCACAAATATATGTGTTTTATTGGGTGTAAAATGTGAATTATTATGAATTTTATAAAAGTTTTAATGTAAATCAATAATGATATGTGCAGAAAATTATACAAGCTCATTTTTAATGACTTTTTTGCCGATCATTATATTTCAAAACTTTTTATTCAAAAGTTTGTCTAAAACTAACAGAATTCACTGTTTTTGATATTACAAGTTATGTAATGAATATTTACTAATAATTATGAAATAAAAGTTTTATAATAAAATCTAATGTACTTTATATTAACAGTAATTTACAACATGTAAACACTTTGCGATAAAATCAGGGTATTACTAATAATCTGCACTAATAATTGAATTATGCATGTAATTAGAAATATCACGATGGAGACAATCATTGATCATGGGTAAATTTGCGTATATAATAAGGATATTATCTGCATATAAATTGTATAAAGGTATAAATAAAATTGTAAATCAATTGCACAATTATTGAAAAATAAAGTGCAAAAATTACAACATAATACATAATCATAAATCTAGTTTAATCTAGTTACAAAGTTTGTATTTAATACAATATAAGGTGATTTAAATACCAGCGTCGCTATAGTGACCACTAGTGGGCGCCACACGTGGTGTCGACAGTCGACCCATGCATTCAATGTGTGATTTGTTATGACTTTCATTCACTGTTTGTGTCAATCATTTAATGCAAACCTATTGTTATTTTTGTCATTCAAATTGTTATCATTTCATAACTCTTTCCGCAATTAATTGAAATACCATTTAAGACACCAATCAATACACAAAACAATACACAACGAGTTAAATGGTAAACAAGTGTTGCAATCGGATCCACGCATATAAAAGACAATTTGACAACAAGTGGTGATTCAATCACTGATTGCAAAGTCGGCCACAAATTAAACCACAATTAAAACACAAACTACTTGTGGTTAAAGTTTTTGTATACCAAACATGTAAGTAAAACTAATTGCACCATGATCATCATCACTAACCATTACCACGATGTTGTCTACACAGGGCTGACCACCAAATGGGTGACCAGATCTTCGGCAACGAACTCATTCTGGAGAAAGTGTTGTCGTGTCTGTCGGTGAAGGAGTTGCTGCGGAACGCGTGTCGAGTGAATCACTTCTGGCACAGCGTTTGTCACAAAGTGGTGGACAGTAGGACACAAATGGACCACTTGTTTCAGTTGTACCGAATCGGACGGCAACACAATATGGGCAACAATTGCCGCAATCGTGAGACACATTTGGCCGAAGACCGCGCTTACGATTACGTGAACGACTGTTTTGAGGCG